TTTTACTTTGTTACACTGGCCCCATTCCGTTTAAAAGCGGTTTTTCGTAGAGCTTTGTCTTACTGGATCCAGCAGCTAGATAAATAGGAACTCTGTGATGAATTACTGTGGTTGCTTATATTAAAAAAAAAAAAAATAATTGGCCAACGCACGGCTGCCCGTACGAAGATGCGTTTTTTGCATAGCTCCCCGCATATATTTGTCGCTAACGACACTTTTTTCCGGCAGATGCTTCCAGCTAAAAAAAATTTCAGACTGGCCATCAGGATTGTCAGGAAACATCCCTTCAAAATTCCAGTTTTCTAGCTTCTCAGGTTCCCGAGTTAGCAACTTACCCAAAAAAAACTTTCACTGGCCCGTATGTGGGTAATACGCACAGCCGAGTGCTGGGTTTGAACTCATTCGGGCCTACGTGGGCGGAGAACGTCCTCTTAAAATTCTAATCCTCTAGCTTCTCAGGTTCCCGAGTTAGCAGCTTACCCGAAAAAAACTTTCACGGGCCCGTACGTGGGTATCACGGATACCCGGGAGTTGGATTTGAACTGATTAATACTTTGAAGGGGAATTCACTTAAAATTCCAGTCTGCTAGCTTTTTAGGTTCCCGACTGCTAACTTGCCCGAAAAAAATTTTACGGGCCCGTACGTGGGTACTACGCACACCCAGGGACTGGGTTTGAGCTCCTTAATACCTACTTGGACGAGGAACATTCCTTCCAAATTCTAGTCTTCCAGTTTCTCAGGTTCCTGAGCTAGCAACTTACCCGAAAAAAACTTTCACGGGCCCGTACGCGGGTACCACACATACTCAAGGGCTGGGTTTTAGCTCATTAATACCTACTTGGACAGGGTACGTCCCCTTGAAATTTCAGTTTCCAGAGTTAAAAAACTCTGGAAGCTTTTCTGGTTCCAGAGTTAAAAAACTTTGTCGGGCTAGTACGTGGGTATTACGCGGGTAAAGGCATCCATTTTGGGGATTGTAGCCCGTACGTGCATGTAGATTGGAGCCCGTAAGCAGGGATTGGAGCCGTTCCCGAAGTTTTAGCCCTGTAGCTTTCATAGGTCTTGAGATGAAAAATCAGTACAGACGCACACACAGACAACCCCTCGTCAATATGAGTTTTCTGCATTGCATAGATGCAAAAAACGTATAAAAACTGAACTATGTGTACGGTTGCATTGTGTAGAAATTCATGGTGCACTTTACCGGAGTAGTGAACGTTCGTAGTTGTCACATTTTCTCTCTGCCTCTCTAACAGAGAGAAGAATGTCGAGAGAAAACCTTGAACGCTTTTATTACCTTTGGTGAAAAGGAAGCGATGTCCATGCATAATTGTTAGCTTCTTTCAGGTGTTACAAGGTATCAGCGAATTGGTATATGCCTTTACAGATTCCCAGCTACTTGTTTTTGTGATCTGTGGAAATTTCTGTTCTCCGGTTGGTGCACCTAACGTCTATCAGCGCATTGCAGGTCGTCTTACTGTTTTAATTTTCGGAGTTATTTGCGTTTACAGCTGCTTTGTACAACGTACTAAAGAGAGAACTGCTTGTGATACGGGCAACACAGCGATCTCTACAATTGTTCAGGCCTGTTCTGTGCTCCTTCCGACTGCGGCAGTGAGACTCCTTTGCTCTTGTTTTTACGAAAGAATTCTTTTGGTGTTTCACGAACTAAGTTTTTTCTTTTTTTTCAAGTAAAGTGTTGAGCTGGAGGCATTCAGTTTTCAAGCACTAACCTGTGCTGTCAGGCACAACTTTGAAAGTCATGGATCTCTTCTGTTAAGTAATGAAGTAGGATATCCAAACGCATGTCGTTTGCAGAAATTTTTTCAGAATTCATCACACCGAACTATTGAAAAGTGGCTAATGTGATTGAATTATGCGTAAATTTCTGCTCAAATCGTATCTTAAGCTGGTCATTTCCTTCGGCCGTCCTGTTCTGACCGCATATCTGTTTTCAGCCACTGACTTGATTAGGCTGTATATTTTAAAAGACGACTGTTTAAGTTTGAAAAACCCGTCTATTGTTACTGTAAAGCATCCTATCCTCACCATTTTTTACTACTTGGATACCTACGGGTCGAAACTGTGGTCGATCTCTTTGGTTTTCTCCTTTTCTGGAGCCCACAATTCATTAGACTCTATTAAGTCAGAGGTAATCTAA